TAGACTAACTCTAAACCTAACTCTAACCCTAACCTAACCCTAACTCTAACCCTAAACTTTAGTTGCAACAACATAGTTTAAATAATAGGGTGTTATATATAACACGGTGTTATAAATATAATATTTCTATTTTATTTAATAAATTAATAGATATACAAACATATATATATTACATAAGACAATTTTTTGTTAAAAATAAAAAATAAAGCCTGAATATTCTAAGTGCAATCAAATTTATTATTATTATTTTTATACTACATTTTTGTAATTTAACTATTAGCTAATAATTATATATTAATCAATTTAGGTTTAATCTGAAAGCTTCTAAATCTTGCAAAGCCATGCAAGCCGGGCATATGGTAACCGCTGCAGAAGATATATCCTATATGGTTTCATTCTCAACACTATTAGCCTCCTATGAGCCACAAACAACATTATTATCTCTATCCAACTCAACTAATCAGCCTGACACAAACTTATATTTGAACAACGAACTACTCCCAGACTCAGACCTAAATGATAATTCACAACATAGCTATGATGACCAACGTCCTGAAACTATTACACAAATAACTGAGAATTTAGGCCCTATAGATCCTCTTTCATGCTATAACAAATTTCTTTTTTATCATAGACTTCCTCCACTAGAACATCCACAAACTATTTTCACTTTTCTTCAATATATTAGACATATTTCCCCTCATACTACTCACCAGATCTTATAAAAATTTCAAACTTCAATAACAAGGATCACGATAATGAATATACTGAGGCACATATTTATCTCCCACATGAGCCTTACCCACTTTCTAATCACTTTATACCTCTTTTTGCTTCCTTACTTGATTGGTTTAGATATATTCCTCTTAAATCAAAACAATCTCTCTCTTCAACACCACTACTTAATCCAACTTATTACCCTCTTAACCTCTCTATCTGTACTTACAATATCTGTGGTTTTAACCAACAACTCAAACAACAAGTTTGGGAAGATTACTGTCTAACCAACAACCTAAATATCATTAGCCTAACCAAAACCAAACTCACACACAATTCATTTTACTCAAAACCATTAGCAACCCCTCTTATATATACTTCTGGTCATGTACAAATAGCTCCAAAGCTTGTACTGCTGTAATGATACGTAAACACCTTACTCCTTATATCCACAAAATTAATATCCATCCCAGATATGCTATATCTATAGACTTTTTCTTTAAACATGACTTTAAATATCGAATTATTTCTACTTATCTCTCTAGCAATGATCCTATTACTAGACTGCATACTCAAAACCTTATTATCCAATGGATTCAACAGGCAACTTCCTCTAACTTGCTCTCTATTGTTCTAATACCACCACAGAATCAACACTCTCCTCTTCTAATAAATTTAAACTCCTTTAATTTTTTAACTTTAACAACATATACAATCTTGCTGCTCACACCTCATCATTATCCCCTACTTGGCATAGCTCTAGATACAGTAGCGAAATCGATTTCATTTAGTGCTATCATACTATTCTTACTTACTTAACCTCCTTTGAAACTGATGACACTAATGCCAACTCCCTTAGTGATCACAAAATCCTCATCTCTCGCTGGGTATTCCTCTATGCGCTACAAGGCCAATGCAGACATAAAACTCATACTCGTCATAGAGTTTTTAACTACAAAGCCATGGACTCTGCAAAATGGGAAGATTTCTCTAATCAAGTTTATAACAATTTCTTGTCAAACTCTACTCCTCTTTCTCCAGATACTGATGAATCTATTGAAGCTACTTGGTACAAGATCCAAACCAGTATTATCTCTGCAGCCCTAAAACACATTCCTAATAAAAGATTCACAGTTCACAACTTTCAACACATCTTCTCTTGCAAAGCTTCCTTACTACACTCTAGCCTTAAAAAACTTGGCAATATCATCAGACATATTAAACACTCACTTAAATTCAACTCATCTATTCCTACACACTTTAACTCCACTATCTCTCTACTTAACAACTCCCTTAACCTTCAAATATCTCCTATCCCTCATGACCACAACCTTCTATCATTGTGGTTATCTATAGCCAATGAAGAATGGAAGAGTATCTATCATGCTAGGAATATTGAAAATATCAAAGAAATTAGACAACACATTAACGAATCCATCAATAAATGCTGCACTAAACTTCAAACTCATCCCACTTCAATGATCAACAGCATCCTTAACCGGCACAAAAATCTAGTTAAATTTAATAATATTAAATTCAACAATGATATTATTACTAACCCTATAACTATTAAGTCACATATCCAACAACACTTTGATGATTGAACTGCCCACTATGACATTAATCAAGATATCTTCCAATCTGACTGGCAATCAGAATATAGCCCTAAAACAGATATCAATCCCAACTAGTACTCAAGCATCCTGTCCAACTTTACTCAAGAAGAAGTTATCTCTACTATTAGCCAACTTTCTAATAACAAAGCATGTGGCCCTTCTGGTATCAGCTATGAAATGATCAAACATGCTAGATCTTTTTTCATCTTAGCTATTACCTCTTTATTTAACTGCTGTCTTACCCTTCAATCTATACCCAAGCAATAGAAAGAAGAATGCATTTTTCCTATAGCCAAAAAACCCATCTTCGATGGCAATTTATCTAACACAAGGCCTATTAGCTTGGTTGAACATATTCGTAAACTCTAGAGGTCCAATCCGGATAAATCTGTCATCCATTTATCTATATCTGAATTTATCTGGATATCCATTTACTATTGGTATCCGGATAATCCGACAAATATTCGGATAATTATCCGGATATCAATAGTAAAACGGATATCCGAATAAATTCAGATCTGGATATCCAATAGATAAATGGATAAACGGATAATGGATAGGAACTCTAATCTGGTATAGGTATAATTATCGATTTTTCTTTGCTATGAGATTACTCCTGATAACTTTTGCAAAAGTAGAAAGAATTTATAGCTTTCATAGCTATTGATTTTTATTCGTATTTGTATTATTTAACTATGATGTTTTTGTATGTTGTCATTCTGGCAACTTTTTTTATAAAATAAAGAGGGGGTGCTATGCCCTCGCCAGTTTTTATTTTTACACGATTTTTATAAAATAAGGAGAGTTATGACATATCATACTATTATTCTACTAACTCTACCTTCCCGCCAATTCTTATGCCGTTTATTGTCAGGGTAAATTTATGATCTAAGAAAAAAGTTAACTTTAATAATTTGGACATAAGACTTGCGAATAGACAGGGTTATGCATATTCAATAAATACTGAAAAACAGGTTTTTAAATCTTTTTATGTGGAGTAGTAGGTACTCCCATCCTAGCTTCGAAGTTTTGCTTGTGTTCTAAGAAATCGTCATTTATCTAATATTTTTTTTCGGCATTTCAAATTTTTGTTGAAAGAGAAGAATAAGAGAATCTATATCTAATTCATTTCTAATAGTATTGAAAGACTCTGCAATTAAACTTTGATTGACATTCTCATTAGATGTATGATTTTGGCGAAGGCCTGTCGTCAAAATACAAAAATATTGAAGCATAAAATATTTTGGATCATGGGAAACAAAAATTATTTTAATAAAAAATTACATATTTTAGCTCTAAGAATAGATTGATCTTTATTTATTTATATAATAAGGTATTACAATCATATTTTTTCTAAAAGGTGAATAATATTTGACATGTCTTATATATTAAAACGTACAAAAAAATTCTCTAGCATATATTTATCTCTTCATGACTTTCGAAGGTGATGGCTTTGTTTGAATAATTTCATTATATTTCCTTTTCAAAATCTGTACAGAATCAGCATCATATTCTGTTGTCACATTATTTTTTGTTTCTACTTTAATGATCATCTATAACAGAATTAATTTAGAATAGGTCAATTAAAAGATATTCATAAAATTATAAAATGTAACTTACCATAAATTCCAATAACCTTGGTATTAGTGTTTTGAACCATCAACCGAAAGTTCAACCGGGGCTGATCCGGGTAGACTTCCAGGTATTCCCAGCCAATCGCTGATGTTTGTTTACATCGGGTAAAATAGGATTGACGCATCCTATTTTACCCGATGTAAACAAACATCAGCGATTGGCTGGGAATACCCGGAAGGTCTACCCGGATCAGCCCCGGTTGAGCTTTCGGTTGACGGTTCAAAACACTACTTAGTATACCTGATTTCATCTCTGAAATCATATTTGGATTAGAAGCAATGTTTAAACTTCCATATTCTTCATATACATATACTCCATCTTTCCACATTATAAGCATTTTGATTTCGAAGAGATAACCCAATATTCCGAAAACAGACCGATTATTGTAATTCATGTCACCCTTTCCCATGGCCCGTAAAATTCTAACATTTAAACAATCTCTCATGTCTCTATACAATTTAAAAGAATCGGTTGCTAGTTTTGTTAAATCACATTGAGTGGGGGGTCCGGCTTGTTCTCCAACAAAAATTTCTTCACCCGTTTTCCACATCCACGCCAACAAGTCCGCAGATTTTCCATCAACTACTCTGTCTAAGATATGATTATATCCATAATTTTTTCGATACTTCGAGGCCTGTACGGGAACTTCCATGCTAAAATAAAAGTAAATTTAATATAACATAATTTTGAAAACAATATTATGATAGCTTAATTAAACTTAATGCCTACGCCCTCCAATCAAGACCTACAAATTCTTGTAATGCCCTTGAGAAAAAACGATGTCCAAATTCTGACCAATAATGATGCTCACTGCTGTTTGGAGCACTAATATCTGGGACCGGTTTTGAGAATGATTCGATCCTATAAATATAAGATGTTAGGAATAATAGGCAATTAATAGCGAGAAACCTCGAAAAGCACTTACAATGGAAGCATAACTCGATTCAAATATTTTTTTATTTTTATTAGCTCTTTATCCTCCTCTTTTACAACTCCCAACTCTTCTGTAATACAGATCCAGTCTGATATATTTTTAATCGACCCACTTTCGGTCGTTTCCTACATAATAATAGAATCAATAATTACTGCAAATTACGAATACAAACAATAATATAATTAATTACCTTAAAATACTCCAATAATATCATGCCAACCTTCTGGCAATTCAACATTCCTCTTTGGTTTTTTTGATAATAATTTTATGTAATCATCAAATGACAAAAATTTAGAAAACCCGCCTTCCCCTCGAATATCCATTACATCATCAATCGTGTAACTATATATTGAGCATCATTAGTTATAGGTTATAAATATGTCCTAAGCAATCCAAATACTTACGAAAATGGATTATTTTGCTGGGATTCTTTATATTTTATAAAATGCGGAATAAATTCTCCAAAGTACTGCTTAATACAATCTACTGATTATTTATTATATACCTCAAAAAATTAGCATTAAACAAATACCTTGGATTCATCCAGCTTGGCTAAACTCATAGCAGACATTCTTAGTATATTTTCGTCAATTGAAATTTCCGGGTTGTATGTGTTACTGACAATTTGATGAGGGGGGGTTCGAAATCCATCTTTACAACAAATAATAATTCCAAGAGCAGTTTAAATAATAATACCTAAAAGTAAGACAAAAAATGGTGCGTCTTACCGTTTTGCGTATCATTTTTGTTTATCGATTCATAATAATCAGTCCCTGGTGATGGTTCTTCCTGAATGGGTGTTATATTAGGCTCACTAGCGTAATCATTGCTAGTGATTTCGAGATCTTCACGAGTTCGGCCCTCTAACCTATGACTTATATATTCCTGTTCAGATTTATATCGCTCCGTTTCCTCTTGTATAGCAACGCTTCGAATTTCTCGCTAACATGACAGATTAAAATGAAATTATAACTGCTGATATAATATCATAAATATAACAAGTTAAAGACAAATATACTTTATTTATTCGATCCATGACGGCTAGCGTTGATATCTTTCTGTGATTTCCCATAATAAAGTATTTACAGGATCATTGTTACTATTCTAGAATAAACAGTAAAAGATAGTATTAGAAAACATCATCACAAATAATTTAATTGATTACCCACACATGTTATAATGGAGCAAAAATGCCTAGATTATAACATGCATCCCATTTCGGGCAACAACACGAGTTGCCTTGTGCGATGAATCGCTCAGAACACGACTGCAGGGTATGGGCAAATGGCAAATGATAATGGTGCTACCGACGCATACTATGGTGGGACCTAAAGAGTCTAGACCATAGTATACTTCTCACTTCAGGCAACAACACGAGTTGCCTTGTGCGAACGAATCGCTCAGAACACGACTGCGGAGCATGGTATATGCACCTATAATAAAAAGAAAGGTTGACCTCTAAAGCATTTTTCAAGGTGGTCGCCTTGGCAAAAAGATTACTCCTTCTTGGTATATTTTTAAGGAGGATACCAAGTTCAAGACTTAAGGATCGATGCGCTTCCTCTTTTGTGCATCCAGGATTAGTTTCGATAAAGTATATGTCCCAATCGATCAAACTTCTCCCCGAGTTTGGGTCGCGAATCCAATATGCTAGAAGTGAAAGGTGAAAATATTAAAGGTGCTGTGATTATTGAAAGTTTGAGCAGAGGCTGTACCTGTATGACAAAGGTTTAAACTTTCAACTAAAGTGGGAGAATTCGCAGGCTTGGACATTTGTCGCGTGTTGAATAAAAAACGTGAAACGTTTTATATGTACAATCAGATCCCGATTTTACCACACCATCGGTTATACAAACCTGTAATAAGTGTTTGTGACCCGTTTACAAACTATATTTCGCCTATTTATTTCACGAGTTTTATCCCCGCCAATTCATTTCTCTTATTGCCAATTTAAATTAGAACATCTTTAATAGTAAAAGACATAAAAATAAATAAAACAGATATTAATAAAAAATGAGTTTGAGATGAAGATATATATGTTTAAGAAGTATAATATTTATATATTGGAGGATTATTGATAACAACCAGTTTATTGAGGTCTACCAACTATGCGGGTTCATATAAAGATCCTAAAAAATTAAGATTATAAGTAGTTAAAAAACTTTCTAAAAGTTGTAAAAATAGAAAGGTGATTGTTCGCTTGAATAGAGGTATTGTTATAAATAATAGTATTGTTAGAAGCAACTAGTGTTCTCTGTCTGTTCCAGGAGTTATTAATAATAATGCCAAGTTTTGTTTATTATGCTAATTAAAAAAATCAGTAGAATTATCAGAGAATAACTACACTGTTTATGCTTGTGTGGTCTCAAAGTCTGGCTTGAAAATCAATATAGTAAATATGAATAAATCAAATAAAATAACTTATAAATTTTACATAACTATCACCTTTAGAACTATAATAAAGAGAATAATGTTCTCAAAAATTTTTTAATGTTCTCAATATAGAAAAATTAAATTTGTATAATATCAAAAAAAATTATTTAATGTTCTTAGATAGAGAACACATTTTAATAAATTATGTTCTTAAAATTTGATTAGTGTTCTCGGAGAACAGTGAGAACATTGAATTTCGCAGTTTGTATTGGAATTAACATGATTTTTATCATTGCTATAAAAAAATTCTTTTACAAAACTTGGTTTGTATTGGAATTATCGTGATTTTTATCATGAGTTACTGTAAAAAATTCTATTACGGAACTTACTTGTTATTCCGGTAACCATAGTATTTGGTTGGGTTAGTTTGTATTGGAATTATCATTATTACGAGTTATTGTAAGAAATTTTGCTACAGAACTTACTCACTATTCAGTAACTGCGATGTGTGGTTAAAGTTGAGTTAGAATTATCGCAATTTTTACTGTAAAAAATTTGTTACATGACTTGCTAATACAATATATAGTGGTTAAAGTTAAGTTGTATTGATACTTATTTACACGTTGATTAAATTTTAATTAAAATTTTTTATTATAAAATTTTTTGCCGAGTCTCCGGGACATAGAATTTTTCAATTAATAAATTTTTTTAATTTGTAAAAAAAAATTGGGTTGGCGGGTCAATATATAAAATTAGATGTTATGAGAACCAAAAAAAACTTGGCTGCCCTAATAAAAAAAAAAAATAAAAAATTAAACAAATAAAAAAAAAATAATAAATAAAAAAATAAATTAATAAATGAAAAAAAAAATTATTACGTAAATAAGAAAAAATAAATGAGAAAAAAAGTTGAGAAAAAAATTAATAAGCCTATCAATCGGTGATTCGGGTGGTTCAAACTCTAATTAGATAATTATCAAATATTTTTGTTCAAAGAATAACTCATTGAAATAAAGACAGCCAATCAAAATCGAAAATCTACTGTAACAAATATTACTATATAAACAGTTATACTGTATACGTATTTATTATTAGATTTGTCTTAGTATAAATACAAGTACGTTAAATATTTGCATACGCATATTAATTTTTTTTTAAAAAAATTTTTCTTTTAGATGGCTTTAAAATATTAAAAAAATAACTTTTTTTTTTTTTTTTTAAGCTATTCACCAATTTCCATTAGTAGCGGCTATTACAGCTTCTTCCAAACTTATGTGGAAGAATTTCTTTCCTTTTGAAATAGTAGATGTATCATTATTATCAATCACAATTTCTGAAATTTCTTCAGATTTTTTAAGTTCCGAGGATATTTTAGTTTCTTGTGATTTTTTACTTTCTAAATCGTTATTTTCTGTGGTATTAGTTCCAATGTCGATCAAAGAAGCTTTCTGATCTGCTGAACCAAAGCCAGCAATTATCAATGATCTTTGTATTGATTCGTTAAGAATATTCGCGAAGTGATATTCAACATCACTACCAGCATGTCTTTTTATAGTTTTCTTAGCATCTATTAAAGTTTGTACAGCCGTCGAGTCTACGATGTGAACAGCCGAAAAATCGAATATTATAGCTTTTAATGGTGGTAACTCGGAGTTTTTGGTAATTTCCTTATCAAAAATATCCCTAGCTTCATTCCATGGTAGTTCGTTTGCATTTTTAGGTAACTCAGTCACTCGCCGAGTATTTTCTTTTACATAATTGATTATTTGGCCTTCAACATAGTCAGCATTTGGATAGGTAAACATTCGATCAAGTCTGAAGATTAAGATACCACTTGGTGGGCTTTGAGCTTCATCGAAAGGAGCTTTTAACGGAACATAAGCATATTTTTTGGAGGTGACACCATTGAACGAAGCAATCGCAATGCGACCAATAGTTTCGAATTGTGGACGTGATAACTGTATGAGAGTTATTGCAAGTGAAAAACCAACAGAAGCATAAATTCCGATCTATATTTGTGATATACAAGCATTAATACTTTGATGATAAATAAAATAGAATATTAATTTAATGAGTACATACTTCGACACTAAAAAAAAAATTAAAGATAAAACCAACTACGAAAACAGCGAAATCCCAAACTAAAAATAATTGTTAAAATTCGTTAGCGTTAAATAAAATGATAATATAAATTGAAAAAATTTTTTGAATACTGTACAATTAATTTCCCATAATTGTTTTATATAGCTGGGTTGAGCAACCAGATCGACCACAGCATGAATAATAACAGCACTACACAAAATAAAAAACTTTTAATAATGATCTTACGATATTACAAAAATAAAATTTATGAATTCATTTAATACATTTAAAATGCTATTTTCTCAATGAATATTCGAATCTTTTTTATTCATTAAGCAAGCATTTTAAAGTAGCTAGTGCAACGCCTGTAGATCTCCCACAAAACAATCTCCCCCTAACGTGACCTAACCCTAACCCTAAAGGTTTCATTAGGGTGGGAAAATTTTTGTGGGAGAGCCAAAATTTAATTTAGCGTATTGCCTAAATAGGTGGGGAGTACATACCTCAGTGCCGAATTAGGAATATAATAAAATACAGGTGTTAAAGCATAAAGTGCCAAGATTACCAAGATACCAGAAAATATACCAGCTAAAGGAGTTCGTACACCAGATTTTGCTTTGACAGCACTACGAGAAAAAGAACCGGTAGCTGGGTATGCGCTAAAAAAACTGCCTATAATATTTGTGATACCAATAGCAATACACTCCTGACTAGGCTTAACTAGTTTTTTTTTTTTTTTTAAATAAAAATGTCAGGAATATTTATACAATATTATATAGCAAATAAATTATACCATAGAATTTAAACATACCTTTGTAATCATTAATCCTTCCAAAACTTTGAGCAATAGCAATGTGTTCCAGAATTAAAACTACACAAATTCCAGGGAGGTACGGGGCGCAAATGCCTAAAATTTCACTATTGAGTTCCTTTACACCGACATCATTGAGTCCGGAAGGTACAGTTTTTAAGATATTGAGGGGATTTGTAGATTTTCCAATATTGAGCAGGTAGGCAATTAAAGTGTAGAGAACCACCACCAAAAAGTTGCGTAAAGTGCTGGTGAAGAAGAATATCTTTTGTGAATTAGGAAAACGGCCAGAGAGGTATGACATTCCAAATTTAATAGTATATAACAACAATAAACAAGTCAATCCAACAGAAGCATCAATAGTTGTATGGCCCAAATTTCTAAGAGTGTTTCCAAGAACTAGGTATGTTGGATCCCTAGTATTTACGTTGGTTATACCCAATAAGCCAGCAACCTTTATGATAAAAAAAAAATAAAGTTTTTAGAATACAAATAAAATAAAATAAATAATAAAAATAAATTAACTTAATAAATATTACCTGGCTGATAGCAATGTTAATAGCAGAACCAGTAGTGAAGCCAGCAATGACGGGATTAGAAACATATTTAACAATATAACCGATACGTAGTAAACCAATTAAAAGAATTATAAGTCCAGTCAATAGACTAAAGGTTGCAGCAATTCTCGTATTTGTAAAATCTTTATTATCTTTAAGAATTGTCGACAAGGTTTGCCCTGTGAGCAAGGACACGACCGCGGTAGGGCCAATAGTCATATCTTTCGAAGTTGCGAAAAGACAATATACAATGACCCCAACAAAAGAAGTATATAAACCATATTGTACGGGTAATGTCGCGACCTTTGCATAAGCCATACTTTGAGGAATGACCACCAATCCTACGGTTATACCGGCTATTAAATCACTGATAAACCAAGTGGTATTATAACGACCGATCCAACTAAAGATTGGAAAAAGAGATTTTACATATTCGATAGAAAATTGAGGGATTTGACTGACAGTTTTGTGAACTTCATTTTTTATGTTTTTTCTTTTTGGTTCATAAATGTAATTAGGATCAGCCATTTTCGACAGTTGGTTTAATTTGCATATTACAGATGAGGCGATTTTTATAAAAAATTATGAAAATATCTATTAGTTGTACAGGTTTTACATTAAAGTTAATTATGCCTTCCTTTTTATCTTTATTTGTCAAGTATGTAAATATTTATATCGCATCATATCTGTGATCAAAAGCGTTTTGTGCACAATACTTTTTCTGGAATAATTTTCTTGAGCTTTCTAAGATTGTTTTTTTTTCCGAGCGATTTGCGATTTACTTACTTTTAAGAGTATCAATGCCTTTTTCAATAAAGAGTTGCTAATAATTATTCCCAGAAAGCGTTCTTGAATTCCTAATGGATCTACGCACTAAAATTTTTAACCGATCAAATACATTTATCTACATATAATAATAAATATCAACGGTAACGAATTACTGATCATGTGTTTCCATCTTTTATTATAAACAATTGATAATTGCCTTTTTAGGATATCATTTAATAACAGCACATTTAATCGTTACCTCCTCGTTACATCCATCGTTACGATAGCATAATATATTTAAATTACTAAGGGTTAAAGGAGAAATGTTCAGTTAGAAAAAATATTCGTAACGATAATGATTCGATAACTTTACGCACTGTACATACGTACATACATACTTCGCGATCATATATATAAATTATCATCATTTGGATATTTAATTTTTTTAAAAAATTGTTAGTATTAGAGTAAGGTAGGGCAAAATTTTGTACGTACGTAAAGAGTTTTTATTTGTTATAATATCAAAGATTTATAAGCAAAAATCGAGTTTAACGTTACATTTTATTGTTCGTGTAGTATCTACATAACTAATGCTGTTTGGCTGCATTTGAATCAAACTTGCGCGGAGTACATAAATGTACGCCGATTTTTAGATCAAAAATTTTGTGTATTTTTGATCTATTTTAGGCGTATGCCTATATTTGCAAAGAAATTTCCATCAGTAGATCATAAGATCAAGTGTAATGTGGATGTAACATGAAATTTGAAGGCTTTTCTTTTTTACGTTCTAACGCCAAATAAAAAAATTCTTTTAAAATTTTTTAATATATGCTGTCATTTTATTCTAGCTCTAATCTTAACCCTAGTACGTATTATTAGCGTAGTGCAAATTAACCAATAAATCAATGATTTTGCCTTTTGGGGTTTGTATTACTTGCAGAAAATAAGTTTCAGTAAATCCCTAACACTAACACTAACGCATGCTAATTAGATTTAATAAATTAGCATTTAATGCAGTTTAACGGTTACACTAACGTTCGCGCTAAACTATAAATTGTTAATATTTAATATAATGCCTGTATGCCAGAGCTATTATTAATCGGGGAATTTTCGGATATTAAACTTTTAAGATGCACCAATCCTCTTTAAATTTACATACAGTATACGTATCGATATGTAATTTTATCGAATCTTACGCAAAATTACACAAAATTACTAACATCCCTAGGTAATAGATCTATCACAATATATGGCTAATATATGAGTGACGCAAGAGAAAATCTGCAATCAAAATATCTTAAAATCATGTATTTGAACACAAGATTTTTATTACTATTCGAATCATCTTCCTGAGACGATTCAAATGGGATTAAAACAATAAGTGTTCAATTTACTGGATTTTTTAAATTTTTATTGAAAGGAAATATTCAAAGAACATGATTTAGTAAGTTTCTTTTTGCATCTCACATATCAGATATCTGATATAGCATACGCGTACGTAAGTATGTGTGATTTACAATTCGCACACCGATGTGTACAACAAACATTATTAACGCAATTTCAAACAAAACACTGCAAATGTGTGACTGACGCCCAAAGAATTTTATCGGTTAAATTTTCCATCAAACAGTTTTTTTGGTAACCATTCACAATCTTATTATGTAAATTTAATTGAATTTGATTCATTATCTTTTCGAATATGATACCTTTTTCACTTAAAATCTTTAAATAATTTCACAATTTATAAACAATTAACTTTTTTATTATATTTATTATTATAATGGTTATACTTGAGTTCCTTGTGCTAATGCTTAATCTGGATACAATATATATCTGTCTGTTTTTTGCCAGTTTACAAATTGTTAGCCTGCCTATAATGAAATTCAGATAAGATTAGTGAATATATCTCAATAAAATTTTTCTCATTATAATAATTTAACATAATATGCCAAATGAGGCATTGCATATGAAACATTGACATAATTTACATTTCTTTGTAGAAACAAAAAATTTCTCGTAACACTAGATTTTGTTTACTATGTGTGATAAAGCTATATGCACAAATATTTACATGACATTTTATCGGAAGATTATTTTTCGAGTGTTTCACCATTTTAATACTTTATATCGTTGAAAATACAAATAAACTCGAATTTTATTTGTTCCAAAATCTTGAACAGATGTATACGTGGTAGTCAATAATATATTTCTTCTTATGGTTTATTTATATGAATTGAAATTTCTATATTGTTCATCCAATAAATTTTATTTTTTGCATATTTGGCATAGTAAGTTCTATTTTTTTGGAAAATTATTGCAAGATTTATATATTAAATAATTTTAATAATTAGAGGAAATTTTATTTGTAACAGCTGTTGCATGTAATACTTCTGTAGTTGGTTAGAGTTAGAGTTAGGTTATATACATTTTTATTACTAAGTATGTAGGCTGTTACAAAACATTTATCATAATGTTACAATTAGACTCGTCCATAATTAAATATTATATGAATGTTGCCAAGAGAAAGCCTGGAATTGTTAGTTTTCCAAAATTTCATTCCAGAAACAGCTTATAAGAATTTGATCTAAAAGCGGAGTTTCCGGATATTGAGAATTCCAGGTTTTTTCTTGGTAGCACTCATATAATGCTAACTTTTATTATTATTTTTTGCAATTTGTAAAGTATTGATTTCTATTTAGCTTATTGTTTTTAGTATTTACTATTCGACATATGATTATGACGCAGCTAGTGCTCGGACATTGAACCTAGTTGCCACACAAAAAATGCAATTTTAGTCTGCATTAAATTAATTTAAGCCAATGACTTCAAAATTCTTAATTTTTTGGCTGGAAATTATTATTATTATTATTTTTTAAAAAAAAGGCAATTTCTATTTGTACACTATATGTATGTACACGAATATGTTTATAAAACAACTTTGAGATTCTAACAAAAAATTTTTCTTGTAAAATTTTAGTACAAACCCTAAACATTTCCAACTTTCTTACTCTAACCTTAAACTGGATTAATTTTTGTTCGATAATTTGGGCTTGGTGCTACAAATTGACAAAACAAAAGATCTTTGGAAATCAAAGATTTCAAAATCTTTAACCATAAATAGCTTTTGATTCACTGGTCTGTTTTTGGATCGCCTCAATGAGACGAGCCCAAAATCATTAAATCCAATCATGGGATCCTGAGATCGTTAAGAATTTGTGTCACTTAGGGTGTTTTAGGACTGGTTTAATCATGTTTATTATACTTGTTTATTAGAAATTTTTTAAGCTTAAATAAAATAGTTGAATAAGAAATAGTTTACTGACTATATATATACTATATATTCTTTTTGTTATCGAGGCCATAATTTTTTAGAATGTAATAAAGAACTCACGATCTGCATAATTTTTTTTTACTGCGAGTCCTGTGATTACAATAAAGGAATCACTTCAGCTTCGTCATATTTCACAGAACTCATTTTAGAATTCATATATTCCCTTTTAATGATAAAGACTTTGCACAAAATACGACGAATATAAAGTGGTTATCTTTAGTGTATTCACGGACTCACAGGCTAAAAAAAAATTATGCAGACCGTCGATCCAACTAAATCGAAAACAGCTGTAATATATGCGAGAATGTATATACGTATTAGAATTTTAAAGACTTGATAAAGTAATTTAATATGAATACATAAGATGTTTTTTGGTTTGCGGATTTTTGTTATATACATAATCAAATATATAATGTATATATACTGTATAGACTTTTGTAAGCGATGATAATTAAGAATTATTTATATCATAGATAAATTGTAGAATAAATTGAATAGATAAAAATATGCTTGCTTACCTTATAATAAAATCGATTTAAACTTTAAAATTAAAAATTTTAACTTCGTTGTTAATTCGTATTTTTTTATTTAAGATCGCAAGTCGCAATATAATTGGTTGATCGGCATGTGACATTTGGTATTTACGATTTTGATTGATTAGGAGATTCACGGAAGTGACCTACAATTGGTGTAACCTGAACGGTCGCTCCTGTTGCTTCATTATTGGTCGAGTCACATGAAACCTCAAAAATCGGTCAAAACTTTGGATTAGATGAAAAATTTGTTTTCAAAATTTTCCGTGTTTCTGCATCAAACATTTCATGTATTCTTAGTCTTTTAATTGAGGGTAGTTGTAACTTGTTTATCTTGAGGGCAAACCCATTAGTCTTTTTTTGGAGCTTGCTTGCTTGATAACTTCCACTTTTTGGGTAGTTGTGGTTGCGATTGTCTTCACATTCTTTCTATGTCAACTGACTGGCATGGCCTGTTCAAGACTTATAAAGTCACATACTCTGGAAGATGTATTGATTAAAAGAGAGTGACAAGAGTTGTCATAGCTTGTGTATCTTGAGGGCAAATTTTTGGAAGTACTGGAATTTGTTTGCTTGATAACTTCTACTCTTTGGGTAGTTGTGGTTATGACTTTACCTTCATATCCTTCCTATATCAACCAACTTGCATAGCATGTTCAAAACTTATGGAGTCGTGTACTCTGAAAGATGTATCGTCATTCAACTGCTATAGCAAAAAGAATTCAAAAGTTCAAAATTAATATGTGGTAATATATTTTCTTTATATATACAGATATTTAACCTCATAACATATTACCATATGGTTAATATTAAGCCTGGATTATGGATAAAATTTTATTAATTCTTGGTAAATAGTGATTCTTTTACATTATAAAAAATGGTAGTTTCTTTTCCTA